ATTAAGACATTCACAAGTGCTCTGAAGCTAGGAAAAAAGAAAGAACAGCTACTTCCATGAAGATCAAACCTAGACTAGCAATCTGGCAGTGTTGATTTTTGCCAGAATGTCTGCTACTTCCAAGAGTATTAGCGCTGGTATGAACGTCAGTGGACTAAATCAGACTATGTACACAGGGTAGTAGAACACATGTTCGTAGAACACATGTTCAGATCTGGAAACAGTCATGTTCCAAGGAAGGGGTTGTGCTGCCTTGCTTCTTAACCGCTGAAAAACAAGCATAGCCAAGTGCAGCTCCTCTGACAACTGAGCAATGCTCTGACCACATTAGATTTTCAGGCTCTTTATTTTCCCCGCAATGCGGAACCCCTTTTAAGAATGTTCAAGTTTAATAATGGTGGGAACACTTAGGGGTCTATCTAGTTATAAAGGTTTTCACACAAGTTTCCCACAACTTTCTCCCATTTTTCGCATTTAGATTTTATTTGGAAATAATGTGAGAATCCATGGAGAAAGTTGTGTGAAAAGCTCTATAAATAGACTCTTAAATCAAGGAATCAAGGAAGGTGTTCACATATACAGTACAAAATCACATTTTCTGGAGAAACGACTTATATTTAAGAAATAGCTTTGCTTTACAACCTAAGCGCACAGTAAATATGTCCTGAAATCAATCATTTTATCTGTTTATAATTAGATGATCATACACCTGTACTATACCCAAACACCACTTCCCTTTTATATTCTTCAGAAACCTGTATAATAAACATAGATATTTCACTTTTGGAAACAAGCTGGGATTGAACGGTCTGTTCTAGTGCCTAATAATAATAATAATAATAATATTATTATAAAAGGGATTTATCAAAACTGGAGCAAATGAAATCTGGAGCAGCTGTGCATGGCAACCAATCAGCTTCCACCTTTCATTTCCAAACCTTAACTGAACAAACTGAAGAGAGACGCTGATTGGTTGCCATAGGCGACTGCTCCAGATTCTTCTGCTCCAGTGTTGATAAATTCCCCCCTGTGTGTTTTCATTTTAGATTGTCTTCACACTCCGTAGTTTCATTTTGCATCCACAAAGTTATTGAAGGTAAAATGAAACATTAAAAGGATGCTTCTAGTTGTTTCACTTTAGCCAAAAAAATTGATTAAACACATGCATTGTGATAATCATTTTTAAACTGCAGATGTACTAGATACATGGGTTGTACACAGGGTTGCACCGATACCAAGTATAGTACTCGGTACAAGTACAGATACTTTGAGCTCCAAGACTACACTAGAGAAAACATTCAAAAGTTAGGAGGCAGCGGTCATTTGTAAGGAGCATGCGGAGCTCCCAGGATTTGTACATCTCTGTTTTAATGTATGATTTTGTTTTTATAAATAAAAAGATGCACCGATACCAGTTTTGCTAGTACGAGTACTGATACATTTTTGTTTATTGTCATGCGACAGTTTTTCTAAAACAATACAGACTAATGATTTCAGGACAGTGGTGGAGTGCCAGAGCCCGGTCCCAGCTGCAACCCTGGTAGTTCTCGTGAAAATGTCAAGTATCAGCAGCACTGGTACTCGAAAAGTATCTGTGCATCCCTAATTGTACATGAATAGTGGGGGGAATTTATAAAACAAAAGGTGTCTCGGGTCAAGTTCTATCTCTGGTGCCGTTGAGTATATCAACCAATCGTCTTCTATCATTTTCTTCACACCGCTTAGAAAGAGAAAATGAAAAAGCCGATTGGCTGCACTCATGTTAAGACCCTTTTTTTTAATTCCCCCCACTGTGTATAGTCTGCACTGTAAAGTATCATTTGTAGCTCCAGTATTATTGTATGTGCAGTTTCAGTGCACTCAAAATAACTACACAACATGACTATGCGACATGGCTAGTACAAGTGTATTCTAATGATAGCATTGTGCTTTTATATATAATAGAATACATATACATGCTGGTAAGTGGAGATTACATTTTATTTCTATTGTCCCAATTTAGACTGTGAAAATTAGCCAAATTACATAAATATACAATATATACCTTTTTTAATCAATTATTTTAGCTTATCACTATTTAATTAGGACTTTTTTTTTAATTAAAAGGAGAACTATGACATGAGTGATTTCCACTCATCTCATAGTTCTAAGCCGACCTGTGACAATGAGACTGTCACAGGTCGGCTCAGTAGAACGGGAGGTGAGGGAACACATACCGGATTCCCTCACCTCCCTCTCGATCCTGTCACGGCAGAGAGCCGGCTGCATTCCCCTCTCACCGATCCGATCTGCCAGCGCTGACTGGCGGAACGGACTGGGGAGGGGGCGGGTACAGCTGGCTCTGCCTCTAGATAGGCAGAGCCAGCTGTCACTCACGCAGCTGGGCGGATCCCGTCAAGAGTCGTGATCCGTCCCGGCTGCGGTGTCTCAGTATACCGCAGGCTGTAGCTCACGGTATACTGAGCTTAGGGTAACGGGAGGACGCTAGTTTGTGTCCTCCCGTTACCCTTTGGAGAACTATGGGGAAAAACACTGACCCCATAGTTCTCCTTTTAAGTTTGATTGTTTTTAAAGGTTTATGCACAGGTCCAGTTGCATTAGATTTGGAAGGTGTACTCAAAAAAAAAAAAATGATACACTGTTCTATTACTATTTTTTGTGTGGTGGTATCAGTTTTTATCATTATGTATAAACATGGTCTAAAGTGCCCGCCGCTAGATGTAAACAATGCATTATATCAGGAATATAAAAGTTTTTAAACAAAGAATCTAGTAACAATGTGTTTTTAGACAAATGCGTGTTTTATGTATTTGTTCGTTGTAAGAATTGGCAACAAGTGATGTGTGAGATGGTTATCATGGTAGGTGTATAACTGTTTGGGATGTGATAACCGTGCACACAGAATTGTGGGATACACGTGGCTTGTATTGGATTTCTTTTGCAGTGTTTTCATAATTTTAGAAAATTTCCAAAATGCATTGTCATGCGTCTCTGCAAAGTGCAGCCAACATTGTGTGCATGTGGAGCCGACATTTATGCATAAGCCTTTTTATTATAATGTAATAACGTTACATAGTCCTATGTAATAAGGAAAACAACTGTTTGGAGCAAAACTTAGGTTGCCCCTGTGCAGCGACTTTATACTCTCTTGCTAAAAACTATTAGTACATAGAAAGGTTGATACACAACATAAACCTTGCATACTAATGAGCATTAGCCATGTATGCAAGTTAATTTTTTTTTTTTTGCCCCCTCCCTTCCCAATTGTCTGATTACCACAAAGCATTACTGGTTACTTTGCCAACACTACACATTTACTGTTGGCATTTATTGGTATAAAAACTACATAAAGACCTGCACAAAAGCCACATTTTGAATGCTGCTTGCGTTGTGTTTCTGCAATTATAGAGTTGTGGATCATCTTAAAGGAGAAGTATGAGGTGAGTGATTTCCACTCCATCCTCATAGTTCAGGGATGGCCAAACTGCGGCCCTCCAGCTGTGGTGGAACTACGAATCCCATGAGTCTTTGCAAGATTCTCACAGCCACAGACATGACTCCCGGAGAGAGATGTTTCATGGGATTTGTTATTCTACCACAGCTGGAGGGCTGGAGTTTGGCCATCCCTGTCATAGTTAGAGCCGATCTGTGACAAAGAAGCTGTCACAGGTCGGCTCTATCGATTGGGAAGTGAGCAGAAACGCGCAACGATCTGCTCACTTCTCGATCGTCTCCCTGCAGTGAACATTGACTGTCAATCACTGCTCCCTGCAGGGATTCCCCCCTCCCCGATCCTCCAGTGCTGAGTGGAGGAACGAATGGAGGAGGGGCGGGCACAGCCTCTAGATAGGGAGAGCCAGCTGTCACTCACGCAGCTAGGTGGATCTCAACAGTATTGCCGGGATCTGTCCCGGCTGCGGTGCTCCCAGTAGATCGATATAGTGAGCTTAGGGTCACAGGAGGAGGTTAGTATATGTCCTCCCGTGACCCTAAAGAGAACCAAGGGGAAACACACTTAATAATAAAGTGGGGTGGAGTACCTGTTAACATTTCCCCCAAACTAGTACCTCTATTTACTGAAGGATAGGTCCTCTTTTAATTTCCAGACCCTTATGCTGGGCATGGGTGCTGCAATGTCAAAAGGTCAAGTTAATATTGGCATCTATGACAAGAGCACATTATCATCTCATGAATTTTAGCTACACATGCCTGTGGAAATTTAACATAACACTTTTGATAACCAACCAGGAAGGGCTGTAAATGTATAGTCGGAAAAGAAAAAAAAACGAAGGAACCTGGCCACTTGAAGCCCCCTCCAAGCCAAGATCATGTATCTGGGTATATGGGTATATCTGCTGACAAACTGATCACCCAGTGTCATAAATCAGCAGGACCATTTATTCACCATGGATACATCTACAGTACAAATGCAAGTTTAAAAGAAAAGTTTGAGCCTGATATATTAAAGTTTGTGTTATTTAAAGCAACAATTTCAATGTGATGACTTTATTCTGAGCTTTAGAGCCAATATCAGCAATCTTTTAACAATGGCTGCAAGCTATTAACATTATGAGATGCCTGACTGTTCATCTCTCACAAATTTTAGCATTTCTACTGGTTCAGAATTTTTTTTATTTCAGCTTTTTATAGATATAAAATGTAAGCAAAATAAACTTATAGTTGATGTTGTATAAAACATCCTACTGCATTCTATAATAAACATAAAAATTCAAAGTCAAACCAACACAATAAGTATATACTCTCTTTAGTGCTTTGTAGTTAAAACAACATACATGCTTTAAGAATCTGTACATCTTAGGGATTATGTATCAAAGGGTGTAAAGATGGCAGTTTTGTTACTTTCCATTTTACTACTAAACATATTCAGAGGTTATCAGTTTGAGTTCTGTTATTATCATGACCAGATATTCATATTTAATCAGTTTGGGAAACTTGATACATATGCCCTTTACATTTATATGCCGCTTCTTACAACTGTCTGAAAGGATCCAAAAATCACCATTTACTTTGTTTTAATGAGTCACAGGTAAAGGAGCATTAAGCCTAGTCTTTGGTATAAGCGCAGACATCTTTCCGAAAAGTCTCTCAGCCATGGTGTCGTCTGTGTCCTGAGCCGTGTTTAGAGCAACTGGCACAACAGAAGCTGCTGTAGTACTCATTGTTACAGAGTTGGGCATAGACAATGAGGTCACAATTGGCGAGCTCGGGGTGGTCCACACACTCGGTGTTTGAGTCCGTTAGAGCTGAAGATACTAAATAAATAAATAAATAAAAAAGTAAAATATATAATGTCGGTTATTACCAAAAAAAAACATGTATTTTGACAGGTATACTCTGGTTTTGCTTTACCAAATAAATTGCACATTTAAAATGTTACTCCAGTTTAACATTTATAGTTACAACCCCATTGCAGGTTATTGTTGCAATTTTGTAATTTTTTTTCTTGTAGAGATCAGGCTATTGCATTAAAATGATATTTGCACAGGTATATATTGCACATTTAAAGTATACCTCCAGCCTAAAGGTTGGAGCGCTCCATATCTGTGTCACTCAGAGAGGTAAGTGTGGGGAAATCTTTGAAAACCCGATTATTCACTGATACACAGTAACTGAACATCTACCCTAAGGCTGGGTTCACACCTGAGCGTATTTTTAGCACGTTTTTCCGTTCAGTGAAACGCGCGTTTCACTGGCAGTATGATTTTTTTGTTTGTTTTATTTCCTTATTTTCTCTTTTTAAAAAAAAAATGTTTTTTTCCCCCCACTTTCAAACTTCCCGCCGGCTCCACCCCCCTGTGACGCAGCCGCTCACAAGGGATGGAACCCGGAACTAGGCAGCCGCCGGAGGACACATTAAGGACAAGGTAAGACCTGTACGCAGTATTCCCGAGTGTGGCACGGGGTTACCGCTTTGTTAACCCCGATCCACACTCGGGAATACCAATGGAAACGCGCGGAAAAACGCCCCAAAGAAACTCCTGTACTTGTTTGGGCGTAGGGCGTTTTGCAGCGCGTTCCTACGCGCTGTAAAACGCCCAAGTGGGAACCATGCCCATAGGCAATCACTGGTTTTCACATGTTGAGCATTTTACAGCGCGTAGGAACTAACATGAATATCTATGATTAGCTCTACAGGCTACAATTTCAGCAGTGATATTAGACACAGAAGCAATGTGTCATGGAGCATGGCAGGAAAACAGACAATTGGGCTTTATACAGTATTGGGTCTTCTGTGCTTGTGGTAATGGCAGAGCACCAACAGCCCATTTCTATGAGAACAAAGCAAATTTAGCAAACCAATTGATTTTGGCTACTTCTGCCACTTTTGAATTCTTTCTGCCACTTTTGAATTCTTTCAAGTATTCCCTTTCTCTGTGTTTTCTAAGCCCTCGTTCACACCTGAACGTTTTCTAGCGCGTTCTACGCTCTACAAAACGCTCAAAAATATAAATCCCACCTTGGCATATTTCCGCCCGTCCCTAACGCGCTACAAAACGGCCCACGCCTGAAAAGGTACAGGTACTACTTTGGGCCGTTTTGTTGCGCGTTTCCATTGGGATACAGCCAAGTAGCCTTCGGAAACGCACAACGGTCGCGTGAATTTTTTACCGCGAATCGCGGTAAAAAAACCGCACGCCGGCCACGCGGCAGACGCGCATACGCAATACGCCTAGGTGTGAACGAGACCTAACAGCAACAAGCAAGGGGCAAAGTAATCATATATGTGACTTACCCACTGGTTTATGCCTGTTCACTTTGATTTCTGCACTGGCACTGATAGAGTGACTGCCGCTGTATGCATTGCAAGTATAGGAGCCTTCATCTGCAGTCTTGGTGTTCCTTATGATCAAGCTGCCATCATGAGACACATGGGTGTGACGGCCATCTGGCTGCACTGGCACACCATTCCTGTTGGAGGCAGATATGAGTCATATGTCATCTGCAGCAATAACATCTCAGAAATCCTAGTTCTAGCGAACTCAGTTAATTAAAAAAAAAAAAAAAAAAAATCGGACTTTATTCCTAAATGCACAGAATATTACTGGATATTGAGTTCTTATAGGTATATTAAGCATCAGAGATTGTTGATCCAGGGAATATCCGATTGCATTATGGGATCAGGAAGGAATTGTTTTCCCCTGTTGGAGCAAATTGAACCATGTTGTATAGTGGGAGTTTTTGCCTTCCTCTAGATTAACGGTGGAGCCCCCTTACATTAGTTGCCACCATCAGAGAGCCCCCTTGCATTAGTTGCCACCATCAGAGAGCCCCCTTGCATTAGTTGCCACCATCAGAGAGCCCCCTTACATTAGTTGCCACCATCAGAGAGCCCCCTTACATTAGTTGCATTGCCACCAATAGAGGGCCCCCCTTACATTAGTTGCCACCATCAGAGAGCCCCCTTACATTAGTTGCCACCATCAGAGAGCCCCCTTACATTAGTTGCCACCATCAGAGAGCCCCCTTACATTAAATACAACAATAAGGGGGCACTCTGATGTAGAGTGTAAGAATGTTTGTGAAGACAACCTTGGTAGAGTAAATACAGCTTTAACAGCTTAAAACTATTATTGTTATTTTAACAGATTTTAAAAATAGAAGCTGAAATATTTAACCATTTATAATACAGGTTACCAGAAAATAAAAAAAAAACCTCACCTTGACCACTGAACATTGACATCGTCACCTTTCACTATACATTTCAGCGACGCCTCTTCACCTTCTGACACAGTGACTGTGCTGGGCGGCTCAGTGATTTTCAGTTCCCCTGTACAGACAGAGACTTTTCTCACTACTTTGTCTAAATTTAACAGTAAATTGCATGCAAAATGAACTCAAAGTAGTAAAGACAATTCTGAAAATATGCATTATATTTATACTGCACCTACCATGGCCCTCTTAAAATGGATTTTCTGGGTATAAGTCAAATGAAATAGCCCTACCAAAATTGCTTTGCCTCATCTTTTCCCAGAAGATACTATTCTTTTACCTATAGAAACACATGTACATTGCTGGATACCTGTTGTCCATGAATGCCTTTTGGAGCACTATCATTAAGCTGGCAGTTAGGAACCTACCCTCTGGACTTCTTGGACTACAGAAGTTTGTATCAGCACATCCCACATTTCTGTTCCTCTCCAGGAACACCCTCTCCTTTAGACTGGCAGTGCTCCCAAAACAGTGTTGGGATGCTGTGGCCACAGCAGGGATGAGCGTTCGGTGCATGGCTAGGTATTCTGCAGACAATCAGTGCAAGGCACTATAGGTGCCAGGAGACATATAGTACAAGGTGGAGAGCTAGGTCACTGACAGTGTGACTAAGCCATTCTCACTTACCCAGAATTCAGTTGTTTTTTTAAAGCATTTGACATTACATAGCTTTTGTCTTACTATATCACTAATTCTGCTTATATAGATTTGACGTAGTGTGGTTACATTCAGCAACTAGTCAAATGTTGGAGAGTGGATTCCCCCACTGTTCCAGTGAGCTCTGTAAAGCACAGGAGAAGATGTGAATGCGTCCATATAGTTTTAGAGTCCATACAGTGCATAGATATGAACCAGCCACCCAGAAAATAATTTAACTTCTTGTTGAAATCCATTTGATGCAGTAAAATATTTTTTTCTGCGAAAAAATGGATACGTTTGAATAGGACCTTTTCAAAATGAATGTTTATTTTTAAAGCACTTGTTTGAAAGACTGCTGAGGGCTCTTAGTGGGCGAATACTTCAGCTACCTAGAGTTTATTATTGGCTACGTTTTATATCTAATATGCCAGCAATTGGCCTGTGTATGGTGAACAAGCAACTCTCTTACCTAATCTTTAACTGTTTGGATGTCCATTGCCCAAGATTTTTTTTAAACTGGTTGCATGATGGCTACATTTGTCTGTGTATGTTGTCACTGCACAACTGCAAACGTGATTCGGAAATAAGTTACAGGTCTACTGAAAGAAACGTGGAGGCTGCCATAGATGACTTCTTGTGATGCAAACGTTAGTTGCCTGCTGTTACACTGATTCCTTTGTTTCAAAATGTTGAGGCGCTCAGCCAGGATAAGGACTTCTTATACTTCCAATATGGTCAGTGGGTCAGTTTTATTTTTCTTACATAGGACCAAGTGTTCCTCACTGATCTAAGCTGGTCCCTATATACCAAACATCATTACCAACATTAAATAAAGAATTAATGGAGATCATCTGGTTTGGCAATACGCAGAATGTCTGACTAACCTCTGATTTTTAATTGGATTTGTTTAAATTCACGGCGTTGTCCATTGGTACTGGCACACGTGTAGGATCCAGCATCTTCTGAGCTAACACGACTGATCACCAGTGAACCGTCTGCTTGTTTTCTGTATCTGGAAAAATGAGTGTCAAGTATTAATTTTCTTTTTAGATGCATACTAAAATATCTGCTTTGTTTCAATTACAATGTTTTCCATTGCATATGTTAGTGAACATCAAGATTTATTAGAAGTATGGATGGGCAGTGCTGGGTCCCCCAAGCTGTTTGCATTTCCACCAGGCTGTGGGGAATCAATGGTGATGTGCATCATTGTATCTCTGATCTGGCTGCTGTCTCAAACCAAAAGGCTTCCAGGAACACTTTGGACTGATACTGAAGAAAGAGAGTGCATGGTATACCAAAGGGACAGACTTTGGGTGTTGGATTCATGGGGTTGTTAAAAGAAAAACTCCAGGAATTTTTTTTATTAACCCTTGCAGTGGAGCTACCACTGCAAGGGTTAAGTGCTTGTTTGTGTCTAGGTGCTCAAACAACAAAGATCTACTCACCCGAAGCTCCAAGCCGGCCAGCTGTCACAGCGCTCCCTTCAGCCTGTCCCCTCCTCCAAAGCACATTGTGTGTAGACTTGAGGATGCTGAGGAACATTTCAGTGTATAGACCTGATGATTTTTTGGCCTTGGACCGCTGCAGAGGAGGGGGAGAGACATTCCAGGGACCGGTCTCAGAAGAAGCTGGCTTAAAGCTTTGGGTGAGTATATGTTTGGGTTTTGTTTTTCTTTTTTAACCTAGACAAGAAGTTAACGCTTGCAGTGCAGAGGTAGCCCCACTGCAAGAGTTAATTTAAAAAAATCCTGGGGTTTTTTTAAAACAAAATTCAGCTTTTAGGCATGCTGATCATCTGGTTGCTGCAGCTAGATATTCTGAGCCACTGAAGTAGGGGTTGGCAAAACAGAAGGGATTATCCTTGCTGGACATTGGTTTTTGTAATGAAAGACTCGTAGAGAATCTATCAACTTAATTGTTCATAATTTATGATAAACACCCCCAAAATAAGCCTTGTTAAACAACTCATTTTGCCATTTTACCTTGGGGAAGGCAGGGGAAGTCCATCTTTTTGCCAATCTACCATGGTACTGGGAGATATGTGCAAATGACAAGTTAATCGTGCCCGATGACCAAGATTTGCTTCCACCTCAATGGGACCAGTCACAGATGTCCTAAACAGGGGGGGGAAAAAAACATTTTTTTTTAGATTTATTTTTACATTACATTGTTTTTCTTATTTCAAAAAAGTTATAGTCCATCTTTCTTTGTACTAAAATCTTATCTTGGGAAAGGTCACATTTAACATACTGCTCTTTGACTGCTTTATTGCTAAGCCAAAATGTCTGAATTCCTTAATTGTTTGTTTGGGGTAACATCAAAACTGTTAGGTTAGTATTCATAATTCATATAGCTTACCTTCTCCCAGAGTGCACAGTGTGACTACTGTGCACATTGTCTTTTACCACCTGAGCAGTGGAAGAGCCGGCACTTCGAACATCTTCATTATTCACTCTGGCAATGTCATGTGTTCTATGACCTTCATGCGTCTCAGTTCCTGCATTAGAAAGCCACAAAGTTTAACTGTTATGTGCAGTGGCCTGTGCCATGACTTTGGTTCTTCAAACATCTGCCAATCTGTTATATTTAGCATAAAACCTCAACATAATTTTGGTAGTTTGGAAAAATGACCAATAAACCCAGTAAGGAAATAGAACATTTAGAATGACATAAAATACACATGTGCAAGTTTAGTTTGACATTTTTTAACAAAGCATTGTATACTAATTAAACTTGATCCTGTTCCTTCACATTGTAAGAATGCAGAGTAGTAGGTGGTGATTAATAAACGCACCTTTCACTTGAAGGAGAACTCTGTGTGTTTCTCTGCGGTTGCCATTTGAAACCATACATGTGTAGGTCCCAGCATCCTCCGCCTGAACATTGCTGATCACGAGAGCGCTGTCTGATTGGTAGGTGTGCCTAAATAAAAACCGCAAGATCAGTAAATTGTTCATTTGACTTGTTTTGGTATAGCAACAGGCAAATATGCTTTTTTTTATTTATTTTTTATTTGCTTAGTGGCAGAAGCGGTTTATTTTATATAAAAAGTCAGAATTATGTAATAAATAAAAAAGATCTTAAAGGACCTGATCCCAGAACAAGTATGCAGATACAAAGCACGTGCCTGCATGTCAACTATTGTCCCCTCTAGAGTTCCCTGAAACCAGGGACACCCTGATATTAAAAAAAAGTGACTGCCTTCCATGGTCACCGACTCTGGCATGCCTCCTCTTGGCCCACAGGCCTTACTACTGATTCATCACTATGATCTGGTGGCTCACTAAAACAAAAAATAATTAAGACACTATACATTCCTTTTTTTTTTTTTAGGACTTCAGGTAGTATTGTCAACCTTTCATAAATGGTTTGTTAATACTTGCTGTACATGAGGCTTTTCAGAATAATGTTCAAAAGCGAATGTCTGTGTGGGTTGCGCTTTAGGTCTCATACACATGGCAAGTCTGAAGAACATCAGATTGGGAAGTATTTACAATGCATTCAAAAAGCTTTAGTCCCTAAAAAAACTTTGTTGTTCAAGACTCATGGCAGCAGCCATTGCTGTCTTCTCATTTTGAAAATGGAAATCTTGCTGACCCAATGACCTAAATGTGTGTTGCTGACATGGAAAAATATTCTGATAAGCAGTTTTGACTTTCCTGACTTGCATGTTTCCTCCGGGACAGTGACCTTATTTAAAGGCCAGCACAACAACCAGACAAACAGCCTTTTTTAAACAATATCAGCAATAACAACCCCTCTATTTCTCTTATGGTTCATATACTTTAAAGCTCCCTGCAGTTTCAGTCCGGGAATACAGTAGATGGGTCTTAATGGTACTAAAAGATGAAGCAATAAAAAAGCATTTAGACGACACACCTGTCAGACGGGCTTACTTAGTGTACATCAGAAGGGTTGATCTTCCTATGTTCCTTCTATACACATTGGGTCGAGGAATTATATCCTGATTATTTGACTGAACATGTGAGTAGAATGTATTTCTTCAATTTAGAAGTCTTTTAATAAACAGTATCACACGAGGAGAGGGCGCAGTCACTTGGGTTTTTTGTTACATGCACTTTTTGACAGCAGCCCTTCCTGGTGAAGTGTGATATTGTGGATGAAGATTCCTTTTAAGACATTTGGCGGTTCACATTAGAACTTTGTTGCAAGCTTCAGCTACTTGAAACTTGCTAGAAGTCTACTTATGCTTACCGAAAACTGTAACTCAAATGCCATCACAGTGGAAGTGTAAGCAAACGTTTAAGAGTGTCAAGTGAATATTACCAGCAGTCAGGTACAAAAAAAAATTGACTCCTTCAAATATGCATTCATATTAGTGTGCATTGAATGTCTGATGCTTTTACCTAACTCATCTTATTTTACATATAATTTTATCACTGAGTAATGACATAAAACTGACCTGGATGAGGACACAGGGCTTCCATCTTTTTGCCACTCAACCCTAGGGAAAGGGTAATCGCTCACTCTGCATAGTAGACGGACAGTCTGTCCAATTGATGATACCATAGATGAAGATTCTGCCTTGTTCAAGATCATTCTAAGAGGTAAAGATAAAACTGCATAATGATATCTCCGCCTCACAATTATACCAAGCAAAACCAAGAATGATTTGAAATTTAATAAACTGGGTTGTCAAGCTAGAATTAAATTCCATTAACATGCATTGTACATCCTTGTAATCCGCAGAGTATTAATAGTTGCTGTAAAGTTTTCCTCTCTTCTCAATATTTAAAAAAAAAAAATCAGGAAAAGTACCTGTAAAGGGAAGTGTGGTGAGATGTGGAACTGTCTTCTGCTTTGGGTGCATATTGGCTTTGATCTGTGGATAGGCCAGATATTCTTTGATCCATATTGCGCTCATCCCGATCATGGCCAGCAAGAATACGGCCTTCCATGTCTCCATCAAGAGTTTTAACAATTCCTCTATGTTCTGGCTCATGTCCAAACTCTTCTCCTTCATGAACTCCTGGCTTTTCATGTGATAGACGATCCCACTTCATTCCCCTCTTACGGTATCGATATTCTATTGTGCCAGTTGTCCTCCCTGGGATTTTTTGGCAGGCATTCATGCATTCCTCTTCACTGCCAAAATTGTTATTATTGCCATGGCAGCCACCGTACCAAAAGCGATTGCATTTGCCAACATCTGTGACAAAGTACCAGCGAGTAGTCCAGTCACTGCAAGACCCCAGAGCACTTGGTAGAAGGCACATTGTTGCATACGCTGAGAAAAATAGAGTTAGAAAGTATGAATGTGAAAATGTGACCATGCAGAGTCATTTGGTGCTACTGTATGATTTTTTTTCTGAAGCACACAGGGCTAGTTAAAGTGACACTAAACTCAATAATTAAATCTTAAAAATGCATTCAAGTACATTAACAATACTGTATCTTATTTGTGTATCACTCAGCTTTAGATTATCAAATAATTTCTGAATTTGTACTGGCACTCCAGGCTCACCCCAATGATTGACTAAAATCTCAATACAAATTAGTAAACTAAACATGAGATTGTAGTCCATCACAGGAGTGAGCTTGGTGCAGTGACTACTTTACAACACACATAGGGACCATGGGGAACAAAAGTAGCCACTCTCCAGAAGGAAGGACAGTGTCGGCACCAATTCAGAGATGATTTGAGGATCTACAGCCGAGTGATACACAAATAAGATACATTTTTGTTATAGTTAAAGTTCTTGAATGCATTTTTAAGATTTTACTCCGGACTTTAGTGTTACTTTGTCTTAGAATTCTGGTATTCTAAAATAAATGTTGTACATTTTTTCTTATACTGTATATAGCCTAATTGACTGTTCTTATAAATGTGCACCTTTCCCTAAAATGTGAACATTAAAGTATTTACATATTATTAACAAGAAGTGAAACAATCACTCATTCTCCTTGGTAGCTGCAGGCACTATGGAGAAGTTCTTAAAAGTTCACAACAGAAGCACTGCAGTGGCAGTTCCTCTCCCAGTTTTATTTGAGGCAGCAGGGACTTTGCAGCCTACCAGCCTTCTATTGTAAACAAACAGTATGTGTTTCTAAGCTGTTCGAAACTGACCAAATCTGACTTTTGCGGCAAAATTTTAAGATGAATTACTCAAGAGTACACACAGTTACAGTGGCCAGTGAGGGCTCATTTTAAAGTTCTTTTACTTCTTGTAAGAATCCATAAATACTTTAGGACCCCACCTCAGCAACAGCTGTACTGCATAGGCAGTACACCCGTTGTGTAGTGCCTTTCATTTTGAATGGCACCCTAACAAACTAACACATTGCACCTGATTTGCAGTGTATCATGACCGGCAAGTGCTTTGTGTGAAAAGGGGTCATTCTGGTTTCCCTAAAAGTAAATGCTTAGTAAATGTATTATGATTAGCTGTGTGTAGGAGCAATCAGTGAAGCTCATTAAATTGACCACTACTTTGGTTATTTTCTTTAGAACATAAATAATAGATCAAGGAATAAAGGAACTAACAACAAAACAATGACTGACTAAAACAAATAAGGAGAGCAAACCCAGCACAATATAATTTTTCTACAGTATAAAACAAAGTCCTTTTCATGAAGGCTTTTTTAACAGTTGTGGTGTGCTGCATTGTACAAAAAGGTGCATGTGTGTCAATATAGCTGTTTTTTTTACGAATACATGGTACCTGCTGGGCAGTCAGAGTGCACTTACGATAAGTGGGTTTACTGCGACATCCTTCACCCAGAGGACCAGATGCTTTGTTGATGTTGTCAAAGCAGCATCCATATTGGGAGTTGCGGCATTCTTCAGAGGGCGGCTAAATCCACAAACAGTAGAAGTTATTAAATATATAACCCAAAGAACACCTTTAAGCCTCTTACAATGTGGTCCTAATGATATCTGTATTCCTGTACACAGAAGGGCTGATTTATAACTAGTGGAGCAATAGAAAAATAGGGCTCTTTTAAGTTACCAGTCAGATGGTTTCTACTTTTGTTTTTTTTGCAACCTACACTTCAAAGATAGAAGTCTAAAGGCTGAATTGCAGAACAGCTCATTTCCTTTGCACCAGTTGTCATGTATCAGTCCCCTGTGTACTAAACTGCTTTATCATCACAATACAAGTAAAGCACAGCTCTGTGTTTTAATAAAATGGCATACAGTATTCATATTGCTGTGGACTACTGACAACTCTCATTCGCCTCTTGCTGTGCATCATAAGGAAGCTCATGATGATTCAATTTACTACAGATAACAGTTGTTTTTATAGAGTACTACAAATTCACTCACTTTATTACATGGCTTTGAGTGCTCAGATACCTTATTTTATTTGGATTAAAGAGCACAAGTCTACCCACCCATTTTTGGTGCTGGACCATCACCCCATGCGGCCTATCAATTTCCTGGGTGTCATCAGCATCACAGAGAAATTAACTAAACAGTTTATCTTTGTGCTAATAACAAATAGAAATTAGCAAATTGATTCTGACTAATGCAAAGCCACACCGAATCTGGTTGAACAATGGTGAATGGATGTTCATTGTGTATAGCAAGGTTGGGCCACCAAGCAAATTGATGCACTGTAGTAAAGGGGTTCCTTGACCCTCTTGCCAATTCAGATACATAACAAAAGAGGGCAGTAGGTCCCCTCCGATTTCCATTCCATACTACAGGTCATCTGGTTCAGTAAGGCAAACACAACTAATTTTTTTTTGGTGGTCATAATGTAGATATTAGATTGGACCTAAATATGTCCATAAGTGCATCTACAATGAAGCAATGCACTCACAAAGCCAAGCATGGTAGCAATTTTTGTTATTCTTGCCTACTGACCCATTTACTCAGTGACCTCCTATTACCAAGAATGTGCTGCAGCGTTATGACCTAGACGTTCTTACGGACATAGTTAAGTCCAATCCAATATCTACATTATCACTATACAGTGCCACAATAAGGCTGTACAAACGGTGATCATTGATGAGTTGCGCTCCCATTACTGGTCCATTTGCTTGCTGATTAGATGACCTGTACTTTGGGAGTGTAGGTGAGAGTTGACCTACTTCCTGTTCTTTAATGGAAGCTAATTTGTAAGTTGTCCAAGGGACCCCTGTACTAGTTCACTTATATGCATAATGGGTTAGAAACTCAAGGTACTGAAGCACGGAATTCAGCATAACAGCCAGGCAAATATCACTCATAGAATGATAAAATAATGGCAGCCTCCATGCTTTTCTCAGGAAATGTTTTCTTTAAGCTTTTTGCTGCCATGGATGCAAGTACTACATCTGTGGTAGCACAAGCATTTAAATAAACTCCTGGCTGCTGTAGCAACCAGGAGATTTCTCCCCACTGCTGGCACCACTGCTATAGTGGGTGTCAAGATGGAGAGCCACAGCAGATCAGCAATCATCCGCTGATCTCCCCTTTAAGAAATTACCCCAGAAGCACTCAACTCTTCCGGTTTCAGAGTCTGTGTCTTTGTCAGGTTAGAGAGCAGTGGGAGATCAGCAAACCTGCATTTGCTAATCTCCCGTTTTTAGAACGCTCAGCTCTGGGAACTTCTGCGTTTAGTTACAGGTTCCACTGTACTCATCATCGTGACTCGGTCTGTGCTTGATCAGCTTCAACAGAGTGCAAAGGTGACATTGGGGTTCTAATAGACTCCTGATGGCTCCTTAAAGAGAAATTGTCATCTGCAATATGCGATCGCTAAGGGGACTTGTCAGCACACCCCTTAAAAAAATTTAAAGGGCCCTGCCTTCACATACATACATGCATATACAAAACTCATGTCGGGAAGCATGCATATGAAAATGACAATTGTGCCACACATATTAGGTATCACAGTGCATGCCGGAGTGAAAGCAATAATTTTAGGGCCATTGGTTACCTTGATGAGCAGGTTAAAAGATTTTAAAGCGTCGCCTGTGGACAATATTTGGTACCATAGTTTTTAGCCAATTTCACAAGCACAGTCAATTTTGAGGCTTCATATATGTGGTATCTATATACTCAAGGCAACCTCATCTTTTATATTTTATTTAAAAATGGGGTATTGTTTTTTTTTATACACCCTAAAACTCATTTGGATGTGTTTTTTTCTTTTACTAAAATGATACATTTGATAGACAGTAGAGTAATTCTCATATGGCGTAAAAAAAAAAAATACAAACTGCCCAGATTTTATTCTACGGGGTCTCTGCTTTCAAATAATATGTAATTTCTGGGGGTTTTAAGTAATCTTTAGGCCTCAAATGTGCATTTTAACAGATGTGCAAAAAGCATGAAAACAATTCTCTGGCAGCAAAAGAGTTAATAACTTTCGAGCAGTGGCATAAAATTACAGGAGTCAGTAATGCATGATCTCCTTTAATGAAAAACATACTTGTAAGGTTATGTGTATTTAACTGGCTGAAGGTGAAAAAGGAAAAAATCAGAAATTCACGTACTTGAGGGTCAGCTCTTGGGTTCCTTTCATTGGGACATCCTTCATTGTTATAACCCTTGGCAGGTGTCACTCTATCTGGGCAGCAACTATATCTACAATAAAACAATAAGTCACAATAAATTATTTTCTGTTTAGCATTTCCTGATCTATTATCCTTCTGATTAGCAGAACTGGCACATGCAATCAATTTTGGTGTAGTGTAGCGTAGCTAATGGATGAGCAGTAATTGGCAGACAGGTTTTTACAATGCTTCTATTATTTAAAGGTCAGTCTGCCCAAAACTTTATTTGGATATCCGATTTTGTTTATACTGCCAAGGAAATTAAAGAACAAAATGGAATCTTGTCCAAATTAAATTTTCCACAAAAATATATTATCGTATGGGTTCTTGTAGCACCTAGTTAATCATGGAATAGATGCAGCACCAAAATTATTAAATGAATGGCCATATGCATATGCCGCCAAATTACTCTGATATGTGCTAAACCGGTGGGCTTGATGTACCAATCACATGAAAACTATCTTCACTGCAACAAGGAGAACATACTGACCAAACTCTTTTATTCAGTAAGTTTTTAAAAGAGTTAACATTATATAATATTCTAAACTATACCCTAAGACCTGCTACGAACTTCTATAAGAGAGTTTGTCTCTGTGAAAGAGACGGCGTTAAATAGTTGAGATGTTGCTCTAACGGATTTGTGGTTATGTACAAGCTTAAAGTGGACCTTTCCCCTACTTTGACTAATATGGCATCAGCATACAGCTCTGCATGCTCATATGAAATCATCTTACATTAATTAGCTAAACAGACATTTTTATTTTACTTTCAATTTCTTTTTTTTCTACTTCCTGCTGCACTTTGGCACACATGATGTAATGTGCCCAGGCGTTGCATCCTGGGAAGGTAAGATCAGCAGAGCATTGCTGGGAAATCTCATCTGTAATCAGTTGAGATCTCAGGGAAAGGCATTTTCCTCCCCTGAGATGATGTACATGGTCATATGTCTAAGTCACATGTGCCAGAGTTCCAGTAAGTAAAGGGAGATATATTAATCTGCCCTTAGTTACAATGGCCACTGTGAGCAGAATGGGGAGGAAAAGAAAAAAAAAATCCTCCCCCACACTTATACATACCTTAAACCTTTGACCTGGAACAGGAGTGGCACTGAACTTCAGAGCAGAAAGTCTGCTGAGACAGCTCGTGAAAAGAGCTGTATAATTCAGTGAAAGCTGTTTTGTTTGTTTTTTTATTCAATAACATGTTGGGCTAGTTATTTTGTAATTTGTTTTCTTTTAACTGTATTTCCCCTTAAACTTATATGAGCTAGTCAGAGTTCCTCTTCGGCTATGCGGATAACATTATCACCATAACTGAGCGATTGTTATATGCTATTGGAATAAATGATATAGCTCAGAGGCTGATGTGGAGAAAAGGTCATATATAAAATGATGTGGCTACCTTGTTCTTCTGCAATCATTGGTGGGTGAAAGAAAGTTGTCTTCTCTTTCTAGAGGAGGGCGGGCTGTGAAGACAGATATACAAACAGCTCATAACAATTCTCACATGGGATTACTTGCATCAGTAAAAAAAATATGTAAGTAATATAACTGGCCTTCCAAAAGATGTGCTAATAAGAGGAGGCCAGGTTATCATGGAACCCAGAATAACTAAAACGAAATATATGTATCTACTTACTTGGATACTCCTGCTTGTATCTCGTTAACATAAATTGATCCGAGTTATCATATCCCCAGGTATCTTGCATACTGGGAACCTCTATAAACACAGACAACACATTATAATTACAGAGTAAGATAATGACAACAACCATCTGCATTAAGTTGGCAATGCACGTAGCAATTTGATGGAGTGATTTCGCTTGCAATGCCATTTTTTTTTTTAAATCTCAAAATAATCAAAGACATAGAATGATAGTTTCAAATGACAACAAGGAAATGGGATCAAAATTACTCTGACTGAACCAGGCAGAAAAATCTGATTGCTTCCAACCGAATTCTAGTGGTCGATCGGACTGTTGGGTGGTAAATTACTTAGTTTCTGGAAATTATTTGCTATTGGATGTACCCTCACTTCCTGTCTAGTGAAACTGTTGTCATCAGACATTTACCCACTCTAAGATTTAAACAAAATCCTAGGTCCTATATGTCTAAACTGTACACATACTTTATTTATTTATTTATTATTTGGCAAGTTTTGTATGGTCAATCAATACTAATTTTCCTATGTTTCTGAGCCTATTGGAATAGTGTGCTATGGTTGCACGTATACCCATGCTTTAGGATAAGGTGCCTGGGGCATAATAAAGTATAAAACAAAATATACTTAGTAAAGACTTAGAAAGGTTTTTGTCAATAAATATTAAAAGGAGCATTTTTCCAACAACAGTAGCAGGAGGTGAATGCCAGAGAATCCAAATGAGGACTTTAGGTTGGTGAATGAGAATTCGCTGGTAGTAAATAAGCTTTACAACTACAGTGAACAACCTGACAGGCAAATGACTAGAGAACCAATCACTGGCAAGCAAGTTGAATTATTCATTAACTTTCAATATGTCTTTTGACCCCCATAAGTTAGAACTTATTTCTACAATTTTAGTCCATCCACGCTGCAGACTCTGCCTTGAATAATATTAATGATTAAGGCAGTTGGATGGCTATGTCTATTGAGGTCTTAGGGGTCCAATGGATACTTGGAGAGCTATAAGAAGCAGGGAGAGAATTCAAGAACAACTCCAGGAATTATTTTTTAATAAACCTTGCAGTGGTGTTAACTGCTTGTTTTTGTCAAGGTAAAAAAAAGTCATACTCACATAATGCTCTGAGCAAGATAGTTCTTAGATCGGTCCCTAGAGCCTCTCTACCCCTACTCTGTAGCGGTCTAAGGTCCCCTAAATGATCACGTCTATACACAGTGTATAGGCATGAGGATGCTATGGAAGATTCCAATGCTACAGCACAGGAGAGCTGTGTGACTATTCGGCTTGGAGCTTCGGGTGAGTGTAAATTTGTTATTTTTGAACCTAGAGTAAAATGAGCACTTAACCCTTGCAGTGGGTAGCCCTACTGTAAGGGTTAGGAAAAGTTGATTTTGTTCCTCCAAAACTGAAGCATACTGATATACATCTATCCCTTTCAAGATCACTCTATTCTATAAGGATAAGAGAGGGGGGGGGAGTATGTAAAGACTTCCTTTTCTGTAGCCATAGATTCCAGGTCTTCACAATGTATACCAAGAAAATGCAGTCAATGTGTTCTTAGAAGGCTCTACAATGGGCATTGTTGAGGGCATCTGAAGGATATGCACAAACTGCCTCAAATGACACCAAAGAATCAGCAGCCCTGCCCCAAGAAGTTACTGGACCGCAACATTCCTCACATTATCATGGAAAATGAGCCATCAATTCTGAAGAGAAAAATAATTTCTACTGCCTGCGCCTATACCTTGTTCTTTTAGTGATAACCCATAGTTTGACTGTAAAGGACCGGGATGCAGATTAATCAGCAAACATACCTAAATTCATTCAGTTAGGATTTACAGATTTAGTTGTATGTTTTTTTGTTTTTTTTTTATCATCAAGGAATAATTGCTCAAATACAAGCTGAACTTACGTTGTGGGAGATAACAAGGCTGCATATTACAGCTCTCAATAAGGGATGGCTTTTCAGGCTCATAGGATTCACAAGTCTCTGGTTCATAGAAGTTTCTGTCATTATCAGCACAAACCACCTGCCGTTTCCTTATACCATTATTACAGCTTTTAGAACACTATAAAGTGAACAGAAACCTGTTAACACAGCAGACATTTACAATATTAATAGATGACTAGTCAAATGTGAAAGTGTTAAATAATGCAACCCCACCAATAGAGATAGTACCACATACAGACTACAGCAGATGTTGGTAAGGCCCTTGAAAATTACATGGTCAAACCATCCAAGCCTCACATACTAAAATATTACATTCACAATCAGACAACTGAATTGCGAAATAATAAAACTGAGATTATGTATATTATATTTATATATATTTATTAACTAAAAGCAATTAAAACCACAAGATAAATGCTATTAAACTATACAGTAGGTGTGCAGTAATTTTCTGATCAACAAGCAGATACTAGTGTGTCCTCTTCAGAATTAAAGGTGAATTTCACTAATTTCAACCACCAAAATTTGCAGCCAAACTAGAAGATAATTTTTTTATCTTTTAGTAAGCACTAGGCTTGCACTAAATGAAAGTGTTTTAGAAGGTGTTATGCAATGTTTCCACCAGTGTGGAATGTGTACCCCTGGTTGTATAACATCCTCATGTTGTCACTGAGCAGGACTTTATGTAAGGACAATCGTGCGACAAAAACAGCCCACTGTAGGATCAGTTACTAGTTGCTGCCACTAGATGAAGCATGTTTATTTAACTAGCAAACTGGATATGTTTACTTATATAGGCTCTGCTGTCACTGCCCATGGGAATCTGTACTTATTTAAACAGATTCAGCTTTGTTTCATAAACATTTCTTATTTTTAAGCACTAATTCACACTGAATTCTAGTTGGTTGTGATGGGCTACTGCAACTAAAAAAGCAGCACTTATTAATAGGAACTATTTGCTGTCCTTATTCAAGAGTATTTGTTGCAAATGAAAATGTGAAAAAGTGAAAGTTGCGGGGAAGCGGAAAGAAGAATGTGGTCAGTGTCTCAGTGAAAAATGGTACAAATAAGGCAGTGCTGTAGTAATGTAAGTTGCTAATACAAATGGTAAGTTATAAAAGTAAAACTGCTATTTAGACAATGCAAAGCCTGTGGTTGTATTACACAAAGTGTGTGTGTGTGTGCCCGTAAATAAGACCTAGTACTATTTTTGGGAATTGGTAAAATATAAGACCTACATCGAAAATAAGACCTAGTTGTGACCATTCCCAGGGCCAGTGGTGGCATAAGGGGGAACCTGAAGAGCCGCGAGAGAGGCAGGAGAGAATCAGCGATGCCAACAAAACCAGCGCTAGAGGAAGCGAGGTAACACAGTTTTCGCCATTGCACAGTTGGCTGTCTGATGGCTTGACCTGGTGCATGCAAGCTGTGTCCTGAACGATGGCACCAGTGTCCATTCTGCAAGTTACTGTTCGTTTCTGTATTCCTTCTCCACATTCTGCTGAGCACTGGAAGACAACGCCTGATTTTTAATGTACATCAATATTTCTTTTCTAAACTCAAAGTAATTACAGAAACAGAGAAAGAAAACGAGAGATAGTCAAATAAGCAGATAATAAAAATAAAGTGAAACATTGAATAGTATAACATTGTAGCTCGAAACATAAAACACTTAAAAGCCTAAACAACATATTTAGGTTACTCTTAGTCTTTATTTCTATCATGTTTTTGCTCCTTCTATTCCCTGATAATGAGATGTACAGTCGATACAACATATGTGAATGTAAACATATATTTAAACACTAGGTGCGTGTGATTTTTACACAGCAAAACGTATTTATCAACCAAAAAGTCTCTAAAGGCATATTTCCACTAATGCCATATATGGAAAAATCATGCACATGATGCATATATAATGCTGCTTCACAGTTTAGACAAAAATGGTTAGCTCATGCATTTACATTCCTGCATTCATCAACGCAAGCAACACAATGTAGAGCTAATTTACACAACATCACCTTGCAATTCATGCAGGGCTTTGCACAACACACCTGCTGGGTGTGTACACACTACAAAGGTGTCTAGATTCCACCAATAGATCATGCTGGGAGGGAACACACTACAGAGGTGTATACTTGTTTGTGGCGTGTTTATAAGGTTAGTAAATCAACCCCTCTGACTTTCTATCCTACATACTTGTTCGTTGTTCTGGGTTCCTAAAGGGAACCTGTCAGTCTGCAAATGTCATTGTTGACTTGCTTCTGAAAGTGTGAACTCTGGGGCTTTCAACAAAATCCTTGCTTTGGTACATACTGCGTTGCTGACCCATAACACATAAGCGGCCATCAGAACTTCAAAGTTGCTTATTTTTGCAACTTAGTGATGCATTAAGTAGTGAAGTGAGGATAGGAATGACAGTCACTGAAAGTTTGTACCTTTACACCCGTGTGGCAGCTGCTCTATCTATTTTTTGATAGGTTCCCTTTAAAAAGACAATGAAAGACCTTATCATAAGAATATTTGCAAGGTGACACTTACTGGTGTCCAGGGCCCTGTGTTCCATTTGGCGCATGCTCGAAGATTGCAGACCTGCTGGGTTGCTGGCTTTTCTGTAAACGCAGTGCACTCTGCATCATTTACTGTCTGTTGTGAGGCTCTCCCTTCATAGGAAATGCAGTAAACTGACCGAGTCTGAGTGCCACCACCGCAAGTGGCTGTGCACGGTCCCCACTCGCCAATCTTCCAGCTGAAAGTCATATGAGGATGTTATATATGTATTTTCCCTACAGAATGTCTGACAGAGCATCTGGCAAATGAGCTGATAATTCCATGAGCCACCTTCATGAGGTTTCAAGAGCTCTGCTGGCAATTAACTTAACTTCAAATCTGGAATGTGTTAATAGATCTGAATTCCAGTCTAAAGGCTTATAGGTAAAAGTGTAATGTATTTTAGCGGGTTTTAATGCAGTGTTTTATGATCAAACTTTAACTTTTGCATGCTTGGTCTTACAAATTGTTTTATTCTATTAAATATAAAGACCTGAATATTATCTGCTAGAAGGAGGTCTGTATTTTATTGCAATCACTCTACTTCCTTGCTTAACATCTATTGAGATCTTAAGTACATAAGAAGTGCATCCTTTAAGTGGCTCACAGAGCAACACTGGACCGATGAAAGATTACCCTTAGTACAGAGAAATTGTAATGACCTAGCAGCGTTTTTAACTTTAAAAGATACGCAGGCTGAATATTAAAATAGCTGCATATTACTTTTTCACTATAAAACTGCACAGGGTTGTGGCCAAATTGAGTGCCAGTTGTGCTCAGTGGCATTCTTCTTGCAAATGCGAAATGCTCTGTTCAACAAGTGCGTTACGTGCAACATAATCCAAAGATTTAAATCTTTCCACCAGACATGTAAGATCTTAAAGCTTAAAAGCAGCAGCTGCACCAGACCCACCTCCAAAGATCAGCAGTATGTAAAACCACAATGAGAAGCAACACACACTTTTTATTGATTACTGTATAGTTTTTCACACCTTAGTTGTGCATTAAACTTTCTAACGACATCACCTTACACATTTGGTTGCATTTTTATATAAACAGATTAGTGCTGTAAATGATTCAGTTATCAAGGGAATGCTTCTATGAAACAAAGCACAAAATGTATCCAAATTAAAGTCTGTTGTGAGAACTATGCTCTTGCACAATATTGCAAATAGGAATATAAAAGTTCAGAATCAGGGTTTTCTTTTACAGAAAGTGGGAAAAAGTCTCTTATAAAAGGAGAGTTGTAATTTGCCACTTTCTGGTCTGGCAGCTCTGGGGCAGAGATTGACCAGAGCCTTTAAGAAATGGCACGTGGAATCATAGAAATCTTAAATATTGTGTATTTTAAGTCTATGACAGAATTAAATGGCAATGTTGGAACAACACACATTTGTTGATCCAGAGGGTAGAAAACACAGGCAGATGCCAATTTATCATCCTAACATTTGTATTAACTCCCTGAAACATTTAATGCACAAATGAATTATATAATATAGCTGGAAAAATTAAGAAAGGTCTTTTATATTAAATTTTGGTTGGTCATCCATTTACAGTACATACATGTTCAATGTAAAGCAAAACACAATTGGAAAATACAAAGCAATTTTCCTATTGGACACCAAGGTTTTAGTAAAATCCCTCAGAAGACATTGAAGAAGTCAATTGGTTAATGCAAAGCTGCACCCAGTAAGAACATCACTCTCCTGTTTACCTGGTCATTTTTGTGTTCACTATTCGACTCCACATTGTTGGCTGATATATGTAAGACATCCTTTTACATAGAATAAACACATATAAATGCATTGTATGCGCAATATCTACATGTACAGTTACATTAAGTTTACAGTGCAAGTTCATAGAAGTTTTAGATGAAAAAGAAAGGGAAGTAGATTATAGTGGTCCACTGTGGTCTGTTTCTCCAAGTGGCAGACAAGAAACCTTACTGATCAAATTTAATAAGAATTGGATTCATTAGGACCTCAGAAATAAAAAGATCAAATTTTAGGGAATGTAAAAATAGAATGATCAAATCAGCAAGGATCCAATATAAGGGACAAGGACAAGTGAAGAAAGAAGGATCATTGTAGTTAGGATCACTGCACGACCTTAGGAACAAGAAAATCAGATTAATGGAAAACAATTGATCAAAACATCAGTATTATGAGGTAAGACAGAAATTATGCGGTCCTCAATGTAAAATTGACTGCGGTATAAAGTAGTTGGGACAAAGTAATTCGGGGCAAGGGCCTCCAGGTAATGTGCCTCTCCTGTTGCATTATTGTTTTGCAACCAACATTTCTATGTAACAGATACTACATTTAGGATAACTGTTCCTATAGGCCGCAGCTGGCAGCATATCTGACAGTTAGATCTCAATGGGCTAAAGAATCATTGAAGATGAACACCATGCGATTTCAGTGAGAGCAGTTAATACATGTGAAAAGGAGTAACCACAAGAGAGTTTGCATTGCATCCTTGGTTAGCACCCTTAGTAGATTCATAGGATATAAAACTTATAATGGTAAGGTTTTGCATTTGATCCACTTGCGAGACACATTCAAACCTTGTATTATTCATTTAAGCTATTTTTTTCTATTTAAAGTAAGCTATATCCTGTGCTTTTACAGTACTAGGTAATTTAACCCAATAGCAGCTACATACAATTGTGCCATAATAGCCTCTCCAAGTCACATGTTACCAATTCAGTGATCACTCCTTCTAGACTGCTGCTATTGAACAGGACACTGGGATCAGGTGACCTAGTTTGAGAAGATTTTTATGGTACGTTTGCCATAACTGTTATGGTAAATTTATTTTTATGAGGGAATATTTATATTGCACTCTCTCTATGTTGCCATGCCTTTATTCTGATGCCTTGACTTTCACTTTAGGACTAAGGATTTTTTTTTGGTCATTATTTTTAAAAGTAAAGTATCAACACATTAGCATGTGAAAAAAAACTCTAGACTTTTATATAGCTTCATATAGGCCCAAAATGTGCAGAATCTAAAGGGGAAGATAAAAGTCAATACCACTGAAATCGAAGTTCTGACGTTTTTAAAGCAACACAGAAAAAATCTGAGTGAACAGCAATTCATGAGAAAGATTCTGAGAATGATTACAACTAGTGGATTAACTAAACCTATCTCCTAAAAAATATATGACCCAGGGTTCCACAAGATGCATTTCCTTGCACAATATTAACAAACATGAACATGGAAACCTCTTCTGATAAAAAAAAAACCATCCTGGTAATGATTTTATTAGTACAATGTTGGGAGGTAATAGCTAGGGTCAGGGTTGTACCCCTAACTTAGGATAATGGGCCTAGTAGTTGCTGTTACCTCGGCGGCTACCTTGTACTACACCACTGGCTACATAATAAAATATGCATTAAAAAAAATACTCAGAACAAGTATCAAATTAATTAAAATTTTGAGATGTGTGGTACACATCAGCCAAAAAAATAACATTTATTACATTGGACATACTGTATATCTCACCTCTTTATCTGTGGACATGGTTGAGTGCTGCAGGTTCGGTTGCTTGGTGGAGCTGGTTTGTCCCTACACATATAGTCTGGGTAAGCCTCATTGTCTATTGTGCAGAACACCAAGCGGGATTGGTAGCCTATAAGAAAATCAAAGACAGAATATTTGGATAATGGGGAGAGGTGGTATATACTTAGACAACTAACGTTGAAATATAGAAGCATCATTTCTTCTTGCCTACATTCTCTTACCTCCTCCACACTCTGCACTGCATTCACTCCAAGAGCCATAACTCCACTGGTAGTCATCTGTCTCCTCCTGGTTGGGCAAGTAGTACTGATAATGTATTCCACGGTTGGATTCTTGTCCAATGAGCTGCATTGAACAACAGTTATTTAGCTTAATAACCAAGGCCACTTAAACTGAAATTTCAATTTCAACATGCAGAATAATTATGGGTTTTATGGGAGCCCAGTTGCTAGACTTTCCTACTGGAGTTCCTAGCCCACTGTCTGTGCCATTACCAACTCTTCCATCTTCAGGTGAACTGAAGGAATCACCCCTGCTTTGGCGAACTCAGTGGGGTAAACAGGGCTGTATGAAGTTAAACAAGACAGTAGCAGACCTGACACTTGGTTCTTGTTAAGAAATAAGATGATAAATCAGACTACTAAAGACAAGAAAGAAATGTAAGTAGATGTGTATTTTTTAACTTTTGTTAGAAATTCAGGTATGTGTCAGTCTGAAATTAAAATAGATTATAGTTATACAGACATTTAGGGTTAGTGCAGACATGGGTCAGGGCAGCAAGTGGCTGCCAGAAGGGGAAATGATGCATTTAAAATGCTGCTTTTGTTTGCATTTACATTGACTTGCATGAGTATAACTAGACAATGCTCCATAAATCAAAAATCAACATTCCCTGTCAAATATTTCCATACTGCATAACAGATGTGTGCCAGAAGAAAAAAACCATTATGTACACAAGCCCTTACAATGTTTAAATGGAAAAGATGTACTTATATTTCTCATGTGTTATGCAAACTGAATGTACAGAAACACAAAACACATGTACAGAACACAAAAAAATAATATGTGTCTGTACTTAATTTGTCATTACTGTACATACCTCAATAACCAAAGGTTCAGTAGTTGGTCCCCTGGCTGTTAGGACCTCAGGTGCAAGATCTCCCTCTGACCCTCGATAGTAATGAAGGATGGTGCTGGCTACATGCAGACCTCGGCTATATTCAATGGTCCAATGCCCATTCAGGTAATACTCACCACGCACATTCTTTACAGCTGAACAGAAGCAGATATAACGTTATTAGATGAAAAATACATTATACTGTGCAAACCTTTTTCCTCAGCAAATTTAGAAATATTTTGTTCAGCATATTTTGTTGCTGAATAATGCTTCTGCAAGTGAAATGTCAGCATTTCACTTGCACTGTCCTTATATGCAGATTACAGGGAGGGTTAGTGCTACTCTGTTGCATTACCCTCTCTGTGCATTACTGTAAAACAACTCAGTAGAACGACATTGATAAAGTGGACTGCATGTCATCTGTGTATGAGAAAAGCTCTTTAAGAGCCTGAAAGTTAACAGACTCATAAAGCAGGTGTTTTTATGAGAGCATGTGATCCCATAGAAGAGATTTCCGATCACTTCCTGGGATTGATGGCCATACATACTGGAATGAGAAGGGATTAAAATAATTTTCAGAAAGGCAATAAAAAACATAACATAAAAAACATATGTCAGCTTTCTTTAATCTATTCAAACAAAGATGTATCATTTTTGCACAGCTACAGGATGTCCGTTTAGCAGATGAAACAACATCATAAGGTAAAACTTGCCAAGCCCTCCTGAATATAACTTCTATCGCTTGGTCATTTTTTGTTCAAAAAAAACCCCAAACAGTTTCTGGTTATATAAGGTATTTGCGCATTTGCATGAAAAACCATAATAAATGTAATGTACTCTATTGGGATAGATTAATATTAGATCTCGGACAATGTTTTATAAAGAAGAAATGTCTACCAGTTTATATTTTTCAGTGAGCTTTATTTCTGTATTGTACACACTGTGCTTGTATGTTTACTCATGTCTCAATAAAGACCTATGTATTTTGCTTTCATGTTTCATGTATGAAATACATTGTCCTTTAAAAATGTAATTTTCAGTTTAAAACTTGCACATTCATTCTATATTTACCTAAAAAGTTCCGTGTAGGAGTGATTTCCTTCACCTGAATATTGACTGCTCTAGTTGGAATAGTGAAGAGTTGGCTGTAACCTATAATACCAAGAGAAAAGTTAACTGGAATGAAAACTCTATCACACACATATATATGTGTGGGTTATATGATATACAGCCTTTCTCACAAATATTTTTTAAAGTATATTAGCAACAGTATGTCTGTTCGTTGAATGGGTTGAATATGGAAGGGCATGAATGAAGGGCAAAGAAGTGCCCCATGGTACAGTGGCAGGTAGCACTGAAGCATGCAGGTCCACACGCGGGTGTTGGAACAGTGGAGAGTGAAATGGGGACATATGGAAGAGGTGGTGAGAGAAGGATGGGGGGGTGGGGTTTGGTATGCAACTGTGGTGCAGGAGAGGAGGATGGGTGTCAGCTGTGGTGGTGAGAATGTAGGGGGGCCACTTCCTTGTCCCTCTGGTATCATCACCTTCTATTGTGAGTGAGCAAAAAAAAAAACTAAGGCTGACTCCAAATCCAAGAACCGACAAGCTACAATTTTGTTCTCCATTTTAGATACAACGGAAACTTTGCAATGTTATAAGTTATGAACTTTCAAAATTCAGCGCTTTGCATAAAAAAGCTTGTAGAAAAAGTTGTGGCAGTTTGTTTAAAAAGCAGATTGTAAAATCTGAAGCTAATTGCTACAAAAATTTCAAGTTGACCTGGCCTCATATTTTTCACCACAAAGTAACTTATGTTAATTTGTTAATCATTATAGTAAACCTGTGCCCAGATCATGCACACTAAATTATTTTCATATTGTGAACCCTCTGTAAAAGTACTTTAAAGCAAGCCACCATTCATCTCTGTATCTGTAATCACTGTGAAGAAAATCATTTTTAAAGTTCACAACAAAAGAACTGAAATTTTAGCTCTCACTATGAGCTTGTTCACACCAATTGTGCTGCGTTCCAGAGCGATAGATGCTGGAATGCACCACAATCGCTCACAAAACTTCCCCCTGCGTTCTGGGGCGTGCCAGTGCATTAAAGTAAATGGCGCCACGCCCCCGCCCACGGTGTGATCGGACGCGTGACAAAACATTGCCTGCATTCCGTTCCACGGCAAATGCAAAAGATAGAGCATGCAGCATTTTTTCCGTTTGCACTGGAAGGGCATGCAGACAATGTTTTGCCACGCATCCGATTGCACTGCGGACAGGGGGCGTGGCTGCGGTGCTATTGACTTCAATGCGCCGCCACGCCTCCTCCCGCCCCAAATCGCATTTTTTTAACGATTGCGGTGTGTTACAGCAGCTACCGTTCTGGAACGCACCGCAATTGGTGTGAACAAGCCCCATTACTTTTTTTGTAGCAGAATCCAGGCTGCCAGCACTCTATTGTAAACAACAATCAATTGTTTCTAAGTTAAACAAAAACATATTCTAGATTCCTTGTGATCTTTGAGGATCATTGAGAAAGAATAACTTTACATTAGAAGCTGCTAGAGAGAGGTCAGGAATGGTTTGTTTTAAAGCTCTTTTACTGCTTATTAAGAATATCGTAATAGTTTTATGTCTACAATCTGGGCACAAGTACGCTTTAAGTTTTGAAGAAGTACATTGTAATAATAACAACATATATTCACAACAGTCAATAATGACATGATAAGCATGATAGCAATAAATGACTAATCAAAGAAACATTAGATGTTATTAAAATGATACCTACAGTATATAGTTATTTTAAATACATTATTGAATAATGTTTATTTGCTTTGTAGTTCATTTTGCATAAAATAGCTATAGAAAGACCAAAGAAACATACCTTTTGACAATGCAGGTGTATCATAAGATCCTTTGACCTCATAGCAGGTGCTACCATCCCCTCCACACACCAAGCACCGATCCTCTTTTTTAGATGAATCCAGTACATTGTCACAACCAACAGTCTAAAGTATCAGACCATCCAAATTCAAGATGTTATGAAAACAAGAGAAAAATATTTTTTTTGGCAAGAAATGCAACAATTAATGCATTCATAGCTCTAGCAATGTATTTATAGCTGTAAAGTTATTCCTCCTTTCTTAAAGCAGAAGTAAACCGCTATGGGAAGGGCGGGTTTTTGCGCTAATGGGTAAATAATCACAGCATACTTGCACAATAGGGCACACTTACCTTACAAGCGTGTCCTTCTCCAGTGCTGTCGGATTGATCTTTGGTCCCCCGCTCCGTCCCGCCCACCTTACAAGTCTGTCTTTCTCCAGTGCTATCGGATCGATTTTCGTACACCCACCACCCACCCACTTTCCCATCACTGCCGCCAGCACTTCAGGGTTCCCAGGTATCCTCTTGGCCATTGGGTGGCCACTGATTATGTAACTCTTGTGTATGCACGCAGGAGTTACATCCTCCCTTGCATCAGTCCCATTCACAGCATCTTAGAGATGCTATGAATGAGTTGATTGTGTACACTGATGGCTCATGTGCCATACAGAGTACACAAAAATAGGGATGCACAGATACTTTTCCAGTACCAGTGCAGATACTTGGCATTTTCATGAGAACTACGAGGGTTGCAGCTGGGACCTGGCTCTGGTGCTCCACCACTATCCTGAAATCATTAGTCTGTATTGTTTTAGAAAAACTGTCACATGACAATAAACAAAAGTGTATCAGTACTCGGCAAGTGGTATCTGTGCATCCCTTTATTTATATTTATAAAAACAAAATCGTACATTAAAACAGAGATGTACAAATCCCAGGAGCTCCGTGTGCTCCTTACAAATGACAGCTGCCTCCTAACTTTTGCATTTTTCTCTAGTCTAGTCTTGGAGCTCAAAAGTATCGGTACATGTACTCGTACCGAGTACTGTACTTGGTATCTGTGCAACCCTACACAAAACGTCGAAAATTGCTGGGGGAGAGAGGAAGATTTTTTTGCCAGAATTTATACTTTATATAACTTACCTTACACACTCCCTCTACACAGATGTCCCTCCTGCCTGGCTCACAAGGGGTTCCATCAAGAACAGCATTCTTGTGCCTATAGTAAAAATTCTCTCCTTTGGGTATACAATTTAACTCGCACTTATTGGATGCTTGAAATGAAAAGAGAATAATGTATAACTTTCTTGTTTCTAATGCTAATTATTTTACATTATATAAACTTTATTCAATTTCGCTTGGAACACCAATACATGTTCACTTGTGCCAAATGTAGAAGGTTAGTGAGGTAAAAATATAAAATAAATCACACACGTAAATTTTATAGACATGAAAATGTATGTCTAGGATGCCAAGTGATTATCTTCCAACATGTAAGAAGTTAGGATCTTCTCTATTTAGTAGTCATATCAAAACTAACACACATTCAGAGATGCAGTGGGATGGTGGCTTCACTGGTCTGTCATAGAGTGTAAAGGTAAAACTTTACTAATTAACAGAACCACACAATAATAATCAACTTTGGTCCAAACTAGACGTTCTACATTAATACGTCATGCTTGAATATGGGCTATTTTCTTTTTTCTAACAAACTAACATCAATTGCCATTAAAAAAATGTATTAAAAAAAACATGTGGTTGCTCTAGATGATTTTAAAAGCACAGATTAGAAAATGTACTGCACAAAACTACAATTTTACACACATCACCAGATTAATAGATACATACATACATGCATATCAAAACAAACAAAGAATTATGCTACTGCGGTATCTAGGGATGTCTCTTTATCTTTAAGCATTTAATAGAACAAGATACGCCACCGCCAAATCTTTCTTTCATTTTCAGAAAGCTTAAAAACACAGTAAACAGTGCATTACATATAATGGCACATGCCAGATCCTGCTCCTCCAATGTGTTTTACCCAGAAAGGGGCTTATTCGAGTGGGCTTAAGAATAGCTTAAGCTTTTTTGGGGGAGGGGAAATACATTGGTAGGAACAGCAGGGTCTGGTGGGTGGTGTTGCATATAATGCAGTGTGGAATAAAAGTTATGAAAGTAAAAAAATGGATTTGGCAGTGATGCAGCTTCTATTTTTGAGGTTAGGATGGCCCCTTGTAGCCATGGTACGCAAAGCTAGTGGTGGAAATAAAAGTCCCCTCGACTATTTCTTACCTCCATAGTATGGCAGCCACTTGTATCTTTTTCCTTGGAATTCCATGCCATCATATTCTGAACATTGCTCGGCACGGAAATCCCGTGAGCCATCCGGACATTCCTGTGAGGTGGGAAATACAATGACCATCCAACACATAAAAATCAAAGTATACCTAAAGCTGAAACTATTTTTTTAGATTTGTATAAATGTTTTTAATAGCGGTCTGTGTTACTGTAAGAGATAATAAAAGTGAAAATAAATTCCCACCAGAATAGAAATAGAGGAGAAATCATTTGAAGGGGACATTTGGTTCGGTGGCAATTGTCTAAGAGGGGATTTCCTTCACATTGGAAAAATAAGATCTAACATCCTGTTGAGTGTACATGACAGGAAGTGAATGTAAATCTCTCCAATGAGACATAGATGAAAAAAAAAAGCTGTGGCTTTTACCCTCCCCTACTCTTTTTTAAATGAAAAAAAGTTTGAGTTTT